ACACAATGGTCACGCCGCGTCGGCGTCGCCGGACTTCCCACCTTCGATGTTTTTCCACGGCTCCTCGCATATCATGGTACGGCCGATTACACGGCCAGGACACTGAGCCACGGAAAGTATTGTGGCCTCATTCCGACACGCAGCATTGCTGAGTCTGTTTTCACAACCCACCTGTTACAAGAAATTCGGGACAAGCGCCTCGACCTGGATGCTATCGCGGAAGCCATCCACACCTCCCAAGGCACCGCAGTCCCCAACAAAACAACCCAAGCCCGCGCCTTTCACCAACAACTTCAAGCCCACGCTCCAGCAGCGGCCGAAGGTTCCGCCCTTCGCGCCCTGAAAGCCACGTCAGACGACCTGGCCCGAGCCCGCGAAAAGCTCCAAGCCCAGGGGCCCACGGCATCGAACTCACACCCCGAAAAGATGCCGGTCGTTCCTCCGCCCCCAGCGCAGACGTCCTCCAACCACCCCATCCGTCTTTAAAAGACGATTCTCCAGATTCATGGACGGCTCCAGCCATTCTGCAATGGATGCGCACTTTTGACCCCACGGTTCAAGAATCGGCCAAAGAAGCGCTCCGCATTCTCCAGACGAGCAAGGTCACCACTGACCAGCTAAAAGAAGCGGCTACTCGATACGGTTTGCCACTCAACCGTGTCAACAAGCTTACCATCAAGAGCTTGCAGCGCATTGTCAGTATAGGGGCAGCTGTCGCCTGCTGACTCTCTCTTTGCAGCCAACACCTGCCGCACAACACGCGCTTACAACAACTCTACCACTTACACCGAGCCCTTTCTACACTCATTCACCACAGCCAATACATCAAACGCGCAGAAGCCATTTTTGCTGTCGGCCTCATTCACATCACCCTCCTGTTTTGCTATCCGTCGTCTACCCAACGCTCCCAACAATGGCGACAGCGCCTGCGGCACCTCCAGGTGCTTCCTCACACTTACCACTGCCACAACTTTCTCTCCCCCAACTCAGTTTACATCAAACTCCACTTCAACACCATCACACCACAACGGTGCTACCATCAACATGGCCACTATTATGTGGGCTCCACCGCCATCGGCATACCACACCTCGAACACAACCGCCGTGCCAAGCTCAAGCAACTTCAAAACAACATCCCAGTCTCCGCTGAATTCTCCCTGCGCTACTGGCACTCCCACGGCAACGCGCACCACTTCACCCCTATTCAGCTCTCTTCCCACGACAACTACGACCAAGCGTGGATCAAAGAACACCATTTCATCTCCAACTGGATGCCACCTCTCAATTGGCCCTTCATTTCCCAACATCTCAAGCTCAAAGCTGAGGGTTGGCAATTCACCAAACACCGGGCGCATTTCTACTCCCGCTTGGCCACACACAAGAGGCTCTTTCACAAGCTTCGCAGACGACAGCAGACAATCAGAGAACCGTACCTTTTTACTTCCACCAAACACCATGCCCTCACTCTTCTCCGCAATCTCGAAGAGCCAGGTCGTACCCGAGCCCTGCACATTATCACCAAAGCACTTCACTACAGAAATCTGACACCTCCCAAGCCCAACATTCCCCTTACAGTACCATTCCTGGCTCACGACGACTTCACCAAGCACTGCCAGCAGTGGCTACAGACCACCGTCCAACAACACAAGCATTTAGCCATCCCACTCCACCTCCCCACACATCGTTTACGCGAAGCTGCCCACAAAACACTCCGAGCACAGCTTCACAACCACCGCACGTGGGAAGACACCTTGCACACTCCTCCAGATCCCAATGACCTCCCGTGTACTTGCTCTCATCTCCACACTCTACTTCTTGACCCAGCCACCGCCACCGCCAACGACCACTACATTCTCACCCTGGACCAACTGACATTACCACCACACCTCCGCATTTTCCTTGACGCCAACATGAACAGCACTTTCTACCCCCGCAAAGCCAGATACTTTCTCACTTTCCAAACAGCGTTCGCAAAATGGCTCCGGATACAAGGTCTCCCGACTTCGCTCAGTCAGCACTTGGAACCTTTCCTTCAGCATCAATGGCGACTTCACACTACACACCTCAAACAACATCCGCGTTTCACAGCCCGCCTCCTCCGCCAGCTTCAAGAATACCTAGGCGACAAAGTTGTGCTCCACCACGCGGACCACGAACTCCAACAACTCCGCATTTTCTGCCCACGCCACTACTTCACCGGAGCGCTCAACGCATGGCAAGCTCCGGAACTTTTTGAACCCCTTCCACATCTCCATTCGTCCAACATCCACGACCACCTTTCCGCCACCATCCCGGCCAACCTACGCTCCCGATAGAAATGGGGATTCAGGAAAGATTTCACAATCCCATACGGCATTGTCCACCTCAAAGAAAAGAAGCAGTGGCGGAAGGGACGTACCATCATCTCGTACTTCCACTCCCTCAGTGGCAACCTCTTACGCACCACCAGCCGAGCACTCGACGTCATTTTGCAACACCTTTTCCCACAACATCCGGGCCAACTGTCCATCCCACAACTATGGCGCCACTTCCATTGCTATCTTACACACACACACACACCGGCAGACATTCCACTACACGCGACCAATGATGACCTTGTTGGCTTCTTCAACTCAGTACCCCAACATGACAGTTGACACCAAAGCCACTGGCAACCCCTTCCATCACTCCCACGTCGGCAGACACCACCCAAAACATCCTACGCAACGCACCCTCCACACCTCCGACATCACAACCATTGTCGCTTTTGCGCTCAACACCTGCATTTTCCGGGCATGCAATAACACCTACAAACAAATCCGAGGGGCTGGGATTGGCTCCCAACTCTCTCCTGCCCTCTGCAACGTCGCCATCACCCTCATTGAACACTCTTGGCACCAACTCCACGACAACCTTCTCCAGCATACTGCCCTCCACTTCACATACTACAGGTACGTCGACAACCGCTTCATCGTGCGCAACGAACACTTCCTCTCCCACCCAGCCATCCAGAAATCCAGACCCTCATCCACCGCAACTTTTTCGGTGATCCAGTCGAACTGGAAACAGTGGACGACTTTCACCTCCTGCGCTTCAACATTGACCTCCCACAACGAACCATCACCTACATCCAACCCACACAGCCCTGGAAAATCAGGGACCACACCAGCGCCAGTAGCCAGCGCTTGGCTCTTTCTGGCTTAGCTTCCAGACTACATGCAATTTATACATACACCTTTCCACCACACACCGCAGCGGCAGCGGCTGAAGAGCTTATCCGGCTGTACGCCCACAAAGGGCATGATCCAACAGCACGCCGGCGTTTTTTGAGAAAAAAGAGCACGGTGCCACCGTCTCATGCACTTGCGCCGACTTCGGCTTCCTGTGTGTGTCAACCCCTGTTCCAAAGGGTACCGTGTACCTTGATGTTTCCATCGCGCAAGCAGGGGGATGGAGAGGACATGTGAGGCTCCATCCTCCAACGAAGCTCCTCACATGATCCTAGGATATCGGCAAGGACGCTTGCCGACGTACCTGCTGACGAAACTTTTGCACAAGCTGTGACTCCACTGTTCTCGGTTTGATTCATGGTTCTTTCTCACGATACCTCCCCCAAAACCCTTTCCTCTGCGCTGAGTTCACCGCGGCCGAGTGCATTAAACTTTGTTCAACAATACAATTGCGCCGACTTTTTCACCATGCGTTTCCATCACCTTCCTTCTCACCGTGGGAATTGAGTTAACAGCAAACCAATGTCAGAGTGTGTGTACCCCTTGGACTCACAGGGATCCTTTTGGCTCGTTCTTCAGCAGGGGGCATGCGGCTATCATGTTTTTTCTGACTTCTCGTTCTTCAGCAGGGGGCATGCGGCTATCACGCAAACGCATGCCAACGAAGCTATGCGTGATAGTGGAAGCCAGGTCTGATCAACCTGGTGTACCTGCTTTGTTTGAACTGTTGCTCACGCTGTGACTCTCATCTTCCTTAAAGGGCTAGTGCGCTCTGCAGAGACGAGCGATCGCTGTCACCTCGACCTGTTCGTCGCTTCGCTACATCATGGATTTGGACCGCGTGGCCTTTTTAACCAAAGGTGTTCAGGCCCCTTTGCATGACTTCTCAGGAATATGGGCACTGGCGTGTGGCACGCATTTCTATTTATAAGTGTGTCTCTCCTTGGTGATTGCCCAGGGTGACCCCGAGGAGTGGCCTCTGTGGACCCATTGAACGGGGGTTTGTCGTTGTTTCCCTTGCTTTGGAAATGCACGTGCCCAGAGCGGGCGGAGCAGGCTTAAGCCAAAGCCATTTGCCAAGACCTGCTGAACTATTGAATTCCAAGATGGCTCCATGCCGAAACGTGACCGCAGCGGTCCAAGCTGGCTTAACGCCACAAGGTGGCCAGAGCGACCAAAGCTTTCTTTTGAGGTTCATTGGAACCTGTCGTAACCTTTAGGTGCACACACAGCATGTACATTTTAAACAAGGCAGGTCTTCCTAGGTCGTTGTAATGAGGTCTGGCTTCATGGGTTCCCGGCCCCTCCATTGGTTTCCTTCTTCATCCTTTCCCCGTACCTGCTCGAGTGCTAATGCTCATTTCCTTTTGGTCCCTGATTGTAATTAAGCAATGTGTCCAGCCTTTGCAGCGGCTCTTCATCGGCAGATGTGCGTCTTGAGTCTTGAGTTTCGATTTGGCACTTTACGGCTTCTTGGAGATTTTCAAGGAGGTTTTCATAGAGGTCTCATGGTCAGAACGCTTTACATACCTTACTACCTTACTCCTGGCTTCTTAGGCTTTCGTACCTAGGTGGGCGTGTGGCATGTGGCTTTCAGTGCGCATTTCCCGAATGTGTGCGTGCGCGAAAGCCTGCAAGATCAATGCCATAGTTTTTGTATGTTTTTTGGTGAGACCAGTCAGACCAGCGATGTGATTCTGAGACATACCGCAGGTGTTCTGAGACACACACACCACATGATTATTGATATTATTGATTGCTGAATCTTCAGTCGCCGCAACAACTTTGCAGGCCAAAAAGCAGGGCACCTCAGGGTGAAGATAGTGGGTGGTTGCTGTAGTTTGTGAAGATTTTAGGCATAACTCGGCAGGTCACATGTATATAAGTTTTTTGCAACAACACCAGAATCTGAACTTCCAACGTCTCTTTGCAAGCCTTCCAGATTTCGCGCAAATATTTGGAATTCCTGTCTCAAACAACAATGCCACGTTCAAAAAGGATTAGTGAGGCCACAAACTATGCGCAGGTGACCTGAGTGTGTTGCATCGCGCTTAATTCTGCAGGCCATGCAAGCTGTCACCCACTCCAGCCGAGGCCAGGAAGCTTGCGCAGCCGTACTCGATCCTCTTTGATGTGAGGCTCACGACACCTCCATGTTCGGGAGTCTATCATTGAAAGCTGATGTGCCAAGTTCCCGGGAACCCTTTCGGTAATCTTTCTAGGATGATATTCTAGTCTGCTATTTAGTTCGCACTAATGCGGTTCGACACAGGTTTGATTCTCGTGAAAAAAATTGCTATCAGGAACCAGCTTCGTACAGCCAAAGACGTTTTCGAACGCTGGAGCAAGATCAGTTCTAGCAAAAACTTGGTTTTGACGTAGCAGAGGCCAGAGGTGCCCACCACAGCGCTTTGGGAACGTGCGGTGCTCACTGATTGGCCAAAGCGAGCCACAAGAGCTGACGATGGACTGAATGCCAAAACATGTCTGGCCATTCGTGTTTACCAACAAAGTGACTGCCACTCCACAGAGGCCAGAATGATATACAACAAGAAGCGACGCTTTGGAAGCGTTTTGATTGTTGATCACCCTTGTAGAGGGGCAAGTACATGTCGGGGCCCGATTCGGGTTTCTTAAGACACCTTCCAGAAAACCAAGCATTTGCTTGGGACCCTGATGCGTCGATGCAAGCAAGTGCGGAGGAAAGAACGAACAGGGCTGCTGCAGACTTTTCCACAAGACACTGCGCACACACGATACTATATACTATACACTGGGTTGACAGCGGTTGGATGTCGGGTACAATTCTATCAGACACTTTCACAGCACTGCCAAGTTCAGCTGGAGCTTGCATGCTGTAAAGATGATCAACCAGAGAGTTGCGGGCAAGCCCAACGCGGCATGACAGATGGATCAGATGGAAACGGGTTTATGCAACGCAGGGAAGATTGAAGAAGTAGTGTGCAGCCAAGCTCCTGAGGGAACCAGTAGACACGTATTCTGAAGAGAAGGATCTAAAAGCAGCTGTTTTCGGAGGTCTTTGTTCTGTTTGCCAACGCGCGAAAGCACCTTTCCTTTTTGCGATAACATAAGTTCCATATATTCCCCAGATAGCGAAGCTATGGGGTTCTTATTTCAAATAACAATGAGTTGCCCGTGCGCGCTTTCGAGACAGGTTGCTGGTGCTGGGTGCCGGTGCTGATGCTGGTGCTGTGAGCTGGCTGTGCACGTGGTGGAGACAGGTTGCTGGTGCCGTGCTGGGTGCCGGGTGCCCGCGCTGGTGCTGGTGCTGTGAGCTGGCTGTGCACGTGCTGGAGACAGGTTGCTGGTGCCGGTGCTGGGCGCCGGGCGCCGGTGCTGCTGGTGTGCCGGGCGCCGGTGCTGGTGCTGGGTGCGGGTGCCGGTGCAATTGACAATTGACAAGGAGCTGGCTGTGCGCGCGAGACAGGGTGCCGGTGCTGGGTGCCGGTGCCGGGCGCTGGTGCTGTGAGCTGGCTGTGCGCCTGGTGGAGACACGGTGCCGGCGCTGGCAGTGCGCGTGGTAGAGACAGCGGGCGCCGGCGCCGGTGCTGTGAGCTGGCTGTGTGCGTGGTGGAGACAGGGTGCCGGGTGCTGGGTGCCGGGCGCCGGTATACCGGTCTGGGTGCTGGCGCTGGGCGCCGTGAGCTGGCGGGCCGGTGCTTGGTGCTGGTGCCCGCTTCTGACAGTGAAGTGATAACAACAGCCGCGTAACAAACCGCCGCTTGCAGCAGTGAAGGGCGACCAAGCGCCGCTTCTGACAATGAAGTGCCAGCAGTCATGCGCCGTGTGAACTTATGCACGCAACATCATACGGTGTTGTCGCTTGAGCGTTCTTTGTCTATTAGCGCTGTGGGGTATTTACACTCTTCAGGTTCTGTTTTGGCCGACAGCTGTGTGTCAAGGGCTGTACTGTTTGCGCGCGTACTTTTGTACGTATAATGTTCTATGTGCAACGTCAGGCTCTCAACCGGCCATTGTTTCAGCATGTTTCAGCGTGCTACACACACAATAGTCGTGCTGGATACTGCTTGGCATTGGGCGAGTGAAGCCTACGGGCTTTGCCGTTTGTGCGCATACTTTTGCGCGCATAAACGCGCAAGCAAGATCATACGGCCTTATCGTGCTGCAGCTCGTTGCTTCAAGCATGCTACTATGTCAATAGCGGCGCTGGATACTGCTTGGCCTTGGGCCAATGACACTTACGGGCTTTGCTGTTTGCGCGCATACTTTTGTGCGCATAAACTGATACGCGCAAGATCATACGTTGTTATTCCCCAATTAGGGATAGCTATGGGGTTCTTGCTGCCAATAAGAATGAGCTGGCCGCGCCCGCTTTCGAAAGGGTGTCGGTGCTGGTGTTGTGGTCCTGGGTGCTGGTGCTGTGAGCTGGCTGAGCGCGTTTAAGACGGGCGGCGGCGCTGCACTGGCGCCGCTGCCGGTGTTGTCAGCTGGCAAAGCGCACCGGTGCTGGTGTCAGCTGATTGCGCGCGCTGTGGAGGTTCCGTAAGCTGGGTGTGCAGGCTGCGTACGTACATTCTTGTTCCAGATTCTGCCTAGCTATCTGGGTCTATGCTGGTGTAATTTGTAAGGAGTTTAGACCAACCCCCAAGGGTAGAAACTTTGCCAGAAGAAAACATGTTTGATTGGGTTGCTTCAAGCAGAAGGAGTCAGCACTTTCATATTATTGTATGCGTGCATCATTTGCGCCGCCCTGGGTTTCTTCTAGGTCGAGGCTGTTTTAGAAGCGCAGGGCCAAGGCCCTAAGGCTCGGGATGCTCCGAGTCCGACTGGGTGGGGCAGCCTACGGAGCTTCCTGCGGAGCTTACAGCTGCCTGATTCGGCATGGGGCAAAGCCGTTGCGCCACGCCCGCGCAGCCCGCCTTGCGGCCCGCCTCGTGGCCCCGACGCATCGCCTCGATGTGAGCGTTCAGTCTGAGGTAGGCTTAACTGGCTTAATTCAGTTCCGGAACAGTTCATCCAGCTCATCACCTATGCCTGGCGGCTGCTTAGAAACATATCTTCAAATGAAAGCCAAAGGAGAGATTCAGGAGGATCCACGGCAGGAAGTCTGCATGAAGATGTTGGATGATCTCGCCAAACAGATCGAAAACTACTCACCTAAGATGACGAGAGCTCCCAAAGCTGCAGCCCCAAGCTCTCCACCCTCTGGAGGCGGAGGTGGCTTCTTTGGAGGGCTCTTTGGAGGGACAAAAGCTCCATCAGCTCCCAGCAAGACGCCAGATGCAGCTCAAAGCTCTTTGAAACCAGTAGCAGGGCAGATTGGGCTCTATTTGTGGGGTGGCACTGGTACTGGAAAAACCTTTATGATGAACATGCTGCTTGCCCATTCAAGTAGCATTTCAATCTTTGTTGCCGCGTGTTTGTGATACTTTGTCCACTCCTGTGGATCAGATGCAAACATACTTATTGCTGATTATTCCAGCTTTGGACAGGTTCTACGACAAGATCAAGGTGCAGAACAAGAAGCTTGCTCCAGATTCAGATACTATGAAACCGTGTTCACCAAAACCTTTGTTTGTTTTTTGTTTGTCTGCTTTGATACTTTGCTATGGCCAAGGAAACGCATCCACTTTCACGAATGGATGATCGATGTTCACTCTCGCACCTCCGTTCTTGAGGGGTGGGGAAGGGATGTGATGCTAAAGGAGTACAACCAGAATATCGTCAGGACATTTTGGAGGATTTTGGTGTAGAGGCAGCACTGAGCACTGGTGCCGCTCACCACAAACATTTTGTAAAGCTCAGATGTGGCCAATTGAGGGAAAAACTTCCTTTGCAAGGCTTACACCAGAAGCAGAAGGGCAGCAGTGCCAAAACTGATAGCACAGCTGATGACCTGGTGGAGCAAGTCGCTGCAGACACCTGGCCAAGAGGAACAGAAGCCCCTTCGAGTTGTGTGGCGTAGATGAGTGTCGGGCAACAAGGATTCACAAGGAACTCTGAAAGTTTTTTCGACCATTTTACTTTTAGTGAGTGCGGCTACCGGCGGAGTTTACTGTTTTCATTCTGCTTTTGCATGCCATGGCCAAGCCACAGACTGAAGATACTGGACCATACGATCTATCCCTGCCAGACACATCCTTTTCTCCCACCGGGTATTGAGTCAAAATTCTAATGCAGACAGATTTGGTGATGTGTTTTTTTGACAAAGTTGAAAGGTTTACAAAAGAAGCTGATGGAAGCGTGGCGTAACATCGGCCGGGTTTCTACCATGTTCTGGCTGCAAATAACCGACCTGTTCGACCGAAATTAGGACATGATGAGAGAAGCGTGGCTCTTATGCTTTGATGAGTTCCAAGTGACCCATATCAGCTTCTGGGCAGAAACCTAGGGCCTATGGGTGCCAAACTTTGCTCGCAGAAGGGGTAGCGGCGCGTAGCGGTGTAGCTACTGCTTGGCTCTGTTCTGCTAGCCAAGCGATTGCCAAAGTGTGACAGCAGAACTAGAGAAAGGAGCGTCCTACATAATTACACTGATTCTGTATCCCTTGTGAGACCTTGTGAGTCCAATGTTGTGAACAGTTTGCTGGCCACAAGAACGGCGGCCCTAACAATCCATAAAGACATCAAGAGATATCATGTTTCGATTGCTTCGCAGCTGCAAGCCCAAACTTCTTCTTGAGGTGACGCCATTATCATGAAACGGATCTTCTCCGTGCTTTTTGAGCTTGGGGCCGTGGTCGTGGCCACCTCAAATCGTCCGCCCAAGGACTTGCCACTTGACAAAGGGGCTTCAAGTCACTGGATGCAACTGCCCGGTTGACTTGTTATCCCTCTTCCTTTCTCTCCACTGTCCCTGCATACTGGATTGACAGGAGCTGTTCCTTCTTCCTTACACGATGCTTTGCTTTCCGAGTCGGAGGTTCTCAACATACGTACTTACCGCCAAGGTACTTGAATGGATTGAACCGGCCGCTCTTTTTGCCATTCATTCCAATGCTTGAAGCCTTCTGCAAAGTGCCCTGCACAGGCATTTTGTTGTTTACATTTCTCCAACCATGGCATCCATGGCCTATTCAAGAAGCTAGCAGCTATCTTGACTCCACTATGATTTTGTCTCAGCTCAAGAGGTTTGACAAATCTGCAGAAGAGCCTCAAGGGCCTCAAGTTGGGACTGCATGTTGCACTGGGGAGGTACATGATATTGGTGCCGAAGTGGACTATCGCATCTTTGATGCACATGTTCGCAGTGTTCGCATCCCTTGCCTTCGTGGCAATGATTAGGGGAAATCTATATGCGCAAAAGTCAGTTTCTTACTTGCTTCTGGTGCATGAGCAATGCTTTCTCACACTTGCAAGCTTGGTCTTTGGGATTCAACCTTGTCACCGGCAGATGGGCAGCAACATAGCCTTGGGCATCTTGAGGTTCACAGCTCATGACAGATTGCATGACTCTAAAGCTAAAGATTCTAAGGAATGAGCTCTTCCAGGGATGACGATGACGATCGGGTTTACCTGACTCCAAATGGACCGGATGAAAAGAGGTCTTTGGAGGCAAAATTTGCGAAGATCTGCAACGGCTACGAGCGTTCAAATGTGCAGGTGCGCTGCAACAGCTCGAGCCCGCATCGGTCGTTGGGTATATTGGTTTTCTTCTATGTTCTTTCCTAATAGCAATGGCCTCCAACCTAAGAGCGATGGCCTCCCACCTACCAGCCATGG